CTTGACCGTCACCGTCAAAAGCCTCACAGTCTGTATTGACAGATTATATACACACATAAGTGAAACGACCATACAATAGCAGTTTATAACTTAAACAATTGAAAACGGTCGAAAACGGTCAAAAATAATCAAAATGGTCAAAAACGATGTTAAGGCCAAAAGAATGTCAAAATCGGCCGAAACAGCCGGAATGGTAACAAAAATAACAAAAATAGTCCTCTAGTGAAAATTTGGCGGCATGCCCCTTGTGTTTACCAATTTTCCAGCCATTTATGGCTTCAATATTTTCCTCAAACAGTCCCAAAGTCACACATAAAATAATCTCATTTCAATAGCCATTCCATAGGCTCAAACTCATACAAGTACAAAATTAAACTAGGTACATGTCCGGAAATGAAATGGAAGGCATAAATCAAAAGACAGATTTGCCGTCACTTAGCGTAACGAGCACAATCGAAGCTATGCTTATTGGATTGGGATGAAATTTATACCGTTTCGAAGCTAAGACAAAGGCCTACAACTTTGATGAAGATCACTCTGTCCAGTTTATAGTGTATCTAAGTCAAAATCTCAAATTACAGAACCAGAATCTCACATTCAGGCTAGTCAACTGCACTATGCATAAACGACAATAACTCAGGCTACCAAAGTCCAATTGAGGCGATTCTAGGGGCGTTAGAAAGCTAAGACATAGCACTACAACTTTCATGTTTTGGTCAAATGATAATTCAGTACAGATCACGGTGAACAGACACGATCATATTGGGTGAAATGTCAAAACTGCCCTAACATTCTACCTATGGCAGCCAAGGATATTTCGGTCTTTTCACATGATACAGTACTCAGATTGAGCTGAAATTTTACATACATATATAAAACATCGTTCCCTACAACTTTCATGTTTTGAGCTAAGACTAATTCAGCCTCTAACATGGTGAACGGAAACCAGGCAGAACAAGGGACATACTAACTTCAATTCTGGAAATTGGCTACAATCAAGATATAAAACTCATTTTTAGCTTGAAACCATCACTACCACCTCTTATACCAACATATATACATCATACACCATCCATACAATAAGTATGAGGAGGGTATCATTCAAACCCTAACTCAATTGCATCATTCCAATCATCCAAAATCACTTGATATAAGCATTATTATAACCACAAATACAAGCTACTAAGCAACTCCAACATGATTAAAGGACAAAGAAAAGCGTGGGCAGCCATGTACCTGCCAAAAACTCCCTTGTAGGTGTGAAACCAAACACTTTCTTCCAAACTTTTATCACACACAACTACCTAAGCACTCAAATGAAGGTTTAATCGGTTTGGATTCATTGATTTTGCTCAAATGAAGGTGATTCAAGGTGAAACTTGGTGGTTGCTCACTTGGTTTCTTTCTCTCCTTTTCTCCTCTCTAAGTCACGGTTCTAATGTGCAGACATGGAGGCTAAAATGAAGCTTCAAGAAGGTTAAGAAGATATTAATAAGCTTGGGTCAAAGTTAAGTGGATTACCGCAAGTGTCGCCGTAGGATTCAATCTCAATTTTTTTTTTTTCTTCCTTTTCTTTAGTCAACAAAGGTGGCTGGATTAATGGGTAATTTAGGGCTAATTAGTCAAGTAAAAACAAGGTAATTAAGGTAATAAAGTGGTGGTCAAGTGGTGTAATCCATCTGTGACGCCCCGAAAAGTATAAGTGTGCGAACCCGGAAATTTTCTAATTTTCTAGGGTTTTTTTTTTTAATCGCCCGCCTTTTCTACATTTTCTTTATTAGAAAAATTCCCAGATAAATTTTATGAGCAAAGATAGTTTTAAAATGATTTTTCTAGTATCGGTTAGTTTTTTGAAAAATTAAGAGCGTATTTTGGACGTGGGACCCACAAGTGCGGTAAATGCATTATATTTTTGATAACTTGTTGGAATTTTGTATTAAGTGATATTATTTTACAAAGTGTTAAGATATTTGTATTGGAGAGACAAAAAGATAAGTTTTAAACCTAAAGGTGACAAGTGTCACCATAAGATTTAGTCTTGAGTTTGACTACTATTCATAACTTTACCATTTAATTAAAATTGGCCAAAAATCTCTTCATTTTGCAAGCTTCTTGGCCGAATTCTCTTGCTCAAAAAAGGGAAGAAAAGCTCTCAATTTTCTAGTCTCCAATCTTGCCCAATCTTTCAATTAAACCGATTAATCTTCCAATTACTCCATAAAACCTCTTAGTTTGGTGGAGTTGAGCTTGGTTGTGAAGTTGTTTGGAAAGCTAAGGTGACTAATTGCTCTATCTCTTGTATTGCTAAGGTGAGTTGTGAAGAACCACTTTCCTTCCTCTAATGATGTTCAATTCATGATTGGTGGTGGTATAAGATGCACTTTTATGGATTATATCTTGGTTTTGGTTGAATTGGTGAAGTTTTATAATTATTGGGGATTTTTCTGTTTTCATATGGATATTATTGTGTGGTTATATATGATGATTGGAAATGATTTTAAGGACTCTATGAGGTGGAAAAAGTGATTAATTGCAACCAATTTCTGTTTTGGAAGAAATTTTGGAAAGTTAGGGTTTATGATTGTGCATTCTGCCCGAATTTATAGGTCATAGATAGAGGCCGAATTGGCCTTGGCTTAAAACATGAAAGTTGTAGGAAATGACATTTTAGAGGTGCCTACAAAATTTTAGGTCAATCAGAGTAGCGTAGAATGAGAAAAGTCGAAATTACTATTGCTGTTCTGGTTTTACCCGAATGTAAGAATTTCACCTGTAATTGGTTGTTTTGGCTGGAATTGCTTCAGAATTGGCTGTTGAGGTCTTCTAATGAAATTTATCCCTGTTTCTTAGCTTTCAGCTGGTTTTGGAATTTCTGGATTTGGACTTGGATAGCCTGCTTTATGATGTTTCCGCTAGAATGTGTTCTGTGAATCTATTTTTGTGATTCTGGTATGGTATCTTGCATTTTTGACCTTGTTACACTCGAAACTGGACAGAGTTTCCTTCTGGAACATTGTAACCCAATCTCTTAGCTTCGAAACGGTGGGTCTTGGACCTTCATCCGATAATCGTAGTGCCTTTGGTACCATTACCGCAAAATGACGTCAAAACCTATTTTTCTGGTTTTGAGCTTAACTTTCATTTCCGGACTTTTCCCTAGCTTGACTTGTACTAGCTACTTGGAGCTTGCTGAATGGCTATTGGATGAACTTGTTGTTGTGTGTGTACCTTTGGGTTGGAATGAGGAAATAATGAAGCCATGATGGCTGGAAGAGTTAGCAAATTCAGGGGAAGTGCTGTCCGAATTTTGAAAGGACTTGTTTGCATTGAGTTTGTGAACTAAGACTTGGATTTGAGCAAGGCAATGATATATGATGGATGGTTCCTGAGCCATGGAGGTGAGTGACCCCAAACTATTGTTAAAGCTTCTTATGAAATGTTTCTTGCATTATTTACTCGACTGCATCTCATGCGTGCTTGCATGTGAATTCATGATATGATTTTGGCTTCAATGAGTTCTTGGGGAGTCTTGTGCTGGACACCAACGTCTCCACCTCTGTTTACTTGGAGCAAATGGCTCCGGAGCTCAAAAAGGGGCTCCCTCTTAATGTTAATGTTAATGTTAAATGTTCTATTTGAGCGTTGGGTGTTCAAGTGCTATGACTTCACTGGCTCACGAGAGCAATAAACGGACATTTGATCTCTGAATCATGACATCATCGAAAGGATCAAAATGCAATATTGTGAAATATATTTGATTACTGATTTTACTAGTTACTCGCTGAGCTTCTAGCTCACCCCAAAACTATTTTATTCCCCTCCACAGGGCTCGTGGCGAAGGAAGGCTTGTTGTGCTTATTCACGTGAATAGATGGCCTATATTTTGTACAGTTGGATTTGGAATCATTTCTTGTTCCGTTGAAGTCCTGTTCAGTTGAATCTACGATTGTACTTGTATTGCTTTGCTCTCTTGAGGTTTTAGTTGATAGTGCAAGTGATTAGTTTCCGCTTCGCTTTTGATATGTAATTCTTGTAGAATTTGATGTAATATTTGAGATTTATCTTGTAATTTATTTGAGGAATGTAGTGATCGACTGAGTCCCGGCGAGAGCTGGGCAGGCGGTCCGCCGAACCCTCTGGTTCTCCTTAGGGGGAGGTGGGGCTGTCACACCATCGATAGAGAACGGTACACGTCGGTTCAACCCGATTTTCCTTAAATCGCGTATACTAGGGTTTTAACTTATAATTCACTAACTTATTATTATCACCTCTAATCCCACACTTAATATCATCTAAAACTCATTTTTAATCACCAAATTTGATCCACACTTCGTACCGGATAGTCGCACTACGAATAGGCGTAAAATCCTAATTCACGCTAACTTAAAAAACGAAAAGTGAAACCCTACTTTCTAGGCTCATTTGCACTTATTGTGGGGTGATTGAGTAGTAAAGCTATTAGAAAGGAATAAACGCCAAATAAAAGGATATTTAAGTAAAAATGTGAGGGATTTTACAATTCCCTTGATTCCAGTTAGGGTTTCGGGTAAAATATGAGAGATTTGAGAAAACCGAGTAGTCACAAGTAAAACTAGGGTTTTTTTTATTAGAATTTAGGGTTTCTAGTCTTTAAAACAAAAAATGTCTTAAAATAAAAATAAACTAAAGGAAGCGTAATATTTTTTTTTTTAGACTAAACAACAATAGTATCCTAAAAGTTGGGGTATCACACTCTCTCTTCTCGCCTTTTATTTATTTATTTACTTTTAATCTCACAAATTTCAATCTCTTGTATGCATCTTTTTTTTTTTGCTATAATTCTTAGAATTGATTGTGCATTTCTATATTTACGTTTGTGTATGATTTTTTAAACTTTTTTTTCGAAGCTTTGTGCTGGATTTACTGTTATATAGTTACTGCTAATTAATTTTTGGTAGCTTTCTGCTGGACTTTGGGTTTAGGGTTTTGCGTAGGAAGCATAGCAGGAAATAGCAATAGCAATGAGTCGTAGCTTAGGTATACCGGTAAAGCTTCTACACGAAACCACAGGACACATCATGACCGCAGAGCTGAAGAGCGGAGAGCTCTACAGAGGCAGCATGGTTGAATGCGAAGACAATTGGAATTGCCAACTCGAGAACATCACTTTCACAACTAAGGTACTCTCGTTCCAATGTTATTCTGCCCTTCATTAAGAATTGTGAAACTGCTTTTCTGTTTCTGGTGTCTTTATGCTGCTTTCGAGCTTCTTAATGCCTTTTTCTTTCACTTTGATTCCAATGCATAATAGGCGGAAGCCTACGATGATTTTCTGCGGCAGGAAAATTGAAACTATGGGATGTTAGTAAATTGGAACTGAAATCTATTCACTCTTTAAGGAGTTAACATGGGTTGGGTGGTGAATGCTATTCAGAACACGAGGACAGTCAGTTGTATTTGTGCTCATAAATGATTTATACAGGTTTTCCTAGTAAGAATTTCATGTTTGTGGCAAAAGTATTTTAAAACTATTATTGGCAATATGTTCTCATATAACAGAATTCTATCCAACTAAATTCCAGGCCGTGTATTTTCTTTTTTAAAATTCTTTGATCTTACATGCAAAACCGTTCTTTAATATGTGTTTTTTTTTTGTTGTGGGTTAGGTCTTTAATATGTGTTTTTATTGTAGATTTAAACATCTTATTTTATGACGTGTCCTTTAGGTGTCAGATGCACGTCTTAGATTTTACAACAAATTAAGTGTCTTCTGCACACATGCTTTAGAGTTCACAGTATGTCGGACTACCCGGGGTTGGGGTTGTAAGGAACTTTTTGACCTGTGGATGCTCATTTATCATACTTATTTTAACTGGCAGCTGGTTTTAAGAGTATTTCTTCCTTGATAATTTCATTGAAATTGGACCTGTCATTTTTGACATTCATTAGCAATTATTTCCAGTGCCATATAATTTCTTCTACATCAATGGCTACAGAATGTAAGATCTCTTTTTGAATTGTTGATAGCTTCTGAACAGTCTCTTATCCTTTCATGGATCTTTGAAGCACTAATATAATTTACATCTTCAGCCGCCTCAATCCTGATATCTTCTTTTTTGAACCTCTGAACTGAAGCAAATTAGCTTCAAGACTTCAGTTGTTTTTGACTGCCTATTAGAGAGAGTTTCATTGGATTAAGATGTTATGTTGTGCCCTTTTGGCTTTTTTTAGTCTTGTGGAAGACTAATTTTGGTCTGTATCTTTATAGGATGGCAAGGTATCACAACTTGAGCATGTTTTCATTCAAGGAAGCAAAGTCAGGTACAAAAACTGTAATATAAAATATTTTCTGATTCTCTCAACTGCTTTCTGAGTTCTGATTATGGGTAAAACAAATTTTATCAGGTTTATGGTGATTCCAGATATGCTTAAGAATGCTCCAATGTTCAAACGTCTAGAAGCTAGAATCAAGGTGCTTTCCCAGTTTGCCTATGTGTATTAGAGTGTATTTGTGACCATCACAGCTTTGCTTACACTTTTTATATTATCTTTTGAAGGGCAAGGGTTCAGCACTTGGCATTAGACGGGGACGTGCTGTTGCCATGAGAGCCAGGGTAAGATCTATTTCGTGACTTTTGCATCTTATGCTCCTCGATCATTTATTTAAATCTAAAAGTTAGGAATGACACTCCATATCTGCACCGTAAGCTCTGAAATGCATTATGATCTCTTGTCAAGAAAAGGCAATGCCGGATGGCCACTCTAGAACTGGGATTTAACAAATACTGTAGAACAAAGAGAATGTAGTTTTACGGAGTATGTAAAATGATTAGCTTGGAGAAATATGTGGGGTTACAAATTAAGTTTTGTGGGGTGAATTTTGCCTGACTGTGCCATCCGTGTATGCAGGCTCAGGCTGCTGGTCGTAGAGCTCCACCAGGGAGGGGCATTGTGCCACCTGTAAGGAGGTGATCATTCTAGAATATGATTGTAATCTTAAGAGCATCAAAGCTCGTATATTATGCAAGGGAGATCATCAAATCCATGTTATGCAGCCCAATTTGGTATAGGATAATATTTGGCCTTTGAGACCTTAAGAATTATGTTTTTTATACTAGTGATCATAAAATGTCGCTGATGAGGTTGAGTAGCATGACGTAGGGCATGGTGAATAGTGATATTCATCATGTAAAATGAATTCTCAACATATATACTCTATCTTACGCTCTATCTAACCAACCGAAATTCCAGAAAACTTTAATTTGATCCAAAAGTCATTAAGTGACAGAGCTAATTATTGGTTGGCATTCTGCACTTAGGATGGTCATAATCATCTTTACTCATGCAATGATACAAGCCTCATGCTGTCACCAAGATTGCATAGAACAAACTGAAGAGGACACCCTGTTCAAGTATGACATGGAATTATCCAATTAAAACCATCTCAAATAATTCTATTAGTTTAAAATGACTATGCCAATTAGTTTCCACATTGCTTAAGCAGTACAAATCAACAAAAGTTCGTCTAATTGAAAAGGCAATACCCACAACTAAAGAGCTCAAAGAAAAGCATGCACATTATCATGGAATTATCGACTAATACCATTCCAAAAAAATAACGAGAAAAGACAATTGCTAAGAACGTAAGTTCAGTCAAAGTAGTATTTTTTCATGGATGAAGATTATATTGGTATTACTATCATACTAATTCTGGTAATCTTTTTGAAACACAATGGCAGTGGAGCTACTTTTCCAATATTTTCTTGCTCCTAATCCATGTAAAAATCAATAAATTCTAATACATATTCCAGTGAGCTCAATGTCCTCAATCAGAATCCAAAATATTCGATCCTTAAAATGCAGAAACAAATAAGTAATTGCTGATGCAATTCCATATATCTGTTTGACAAACAAAAAAAAAAATTTGAGGAGGGGGGGAAGGCAGAGACTTATCACAAAAAAGAACCAAAATTACCAGCCTCCACTAACACATAAGCATCTTTATAACAAATTTAAGAGCTAGAATCACACGCAAAATTAATGAAAAACACCTGAAAATAAAAGTTAAAAAAATTGAACGGTTAAATTACATAAGCACAGCACTTGAAAAAAGCAGAAGAAAGTAAATTAGAAAGAAAAACTAAATCAAAATTAAAACAAAAGGGGATAAATACCAAGGTCTCCTCCGCGCTTAGCAGAGCTGCAATCGGAGCAACGAGCAGCAACGTCCTCGAACTTAGCCTTGCTGGAGACGATGTCTTGGTAGAGAGCTATGAGCTGAGAACGGCAGCGTCGCGAGTGGTGTTACTGATGATTTGGCCTTCTGGATCTTTCCAGAAAGCTTTGCACCGGGATCCTTCGTGCTTTATCAATATATGGGAAGCCCTAACGCTATCTGTGGAAGATGAGGACGAGGACATTTTCGTCTTCTTCTTGTGCTTTTCCGACCGATCCGTTGATGGATTCGGAGCCGAATTCTTCTTCCTCTTCCGATCTAACTCTATTTTTGCAGCTTTTATTGGTTAAATTTTTATTCTGTGAAGAGCAACGGAATGGAGAAAGTGGGAATTAACAACTGAGCTCGAGTTTGACTGACTGACCTTAATAAGTACCCGAGTGATGTCTTGCGCTTCACCAGTGGCGACTCCAAATTGAAGTGCAGGATCAAATACTCCTACTACTCAAATCAAATAATATTAAACCAAAGGCTACTTGCTTAAAATATAGGCATAAAAAAAAACATCTGTCAAATGTAGCTTTGACACACTATATTTTTCAAACTATACCTACCGTGCTGACTCAACACAGCAGCAGAATAAATTCTCTGACCTCTGCAAAAGTTTCAATGCGGTCAGCAGCGCAATTTTTTTTTTTTTAATCAGCCTGTCCCCTGCCGTGTTGACTGGGCATGGCTGGGGATAGGCGGTCAACAAAAAAAAAGGGCCAGGGGCCTTTGTCAGCCATTCTTAGGCGCCTGACAAAGGTCATGTGACGTGTGGAAATTATTGCACCGCTACCGTGGGAGCATAACTTGACATCTACCGTGGGAGCTAACAGACTTAGGATCTAGTTTAGCACAATCTAATTATTTAGTAGGGAAGATATTCACTATTTGAAACAATTGCATTATCACTAGGAGCGAGATTTGGAATTCGATTATAACTAGTGCTCATGCACATCCAATGTGTGTGCAATCAAAAAATATATAATATTTATGATCATATATTTTAAATAATTTTTTTATTATGAAAACACATTTTAATCTTTTAAATATTTTTCATAAAATAATTTTATATTAGTAGTTATGATATTTATGGGTAGTTATGTTGAAAACATATACTTAAAATAGTTAAAAGTAAAATAGTCATGGGTAGTTATAGATAGTTAAAATAAAAGTAGCTTTTATCATGGCAAAAAGAAAAGTTCATTTTTTTATAGGCAAAAAAGTTATACCCCATTTATAATTAAACAAATGATCAAATTCATATTCATTTTTGCACTTAAACAAGCAAGATCTGACTTGATACCATATTCATTTTTGTCAATTTATATTTATTTGTGTCACTAAAAAAAAGTAAAAGTTGACATTTTTGTATAAAACAATTATTACATATGGGTCATGTAATAATTTAGACTAAAAAGTGGTTGAAACTTAGGTTGGGGCCAAAAATTGTGAATTTGAATTTGTAAGATATATAAAGTTAATATTTTAAAAGTAAAAGATGAAAAAATTCGTTTAACGAAATGTAAAAAATATTTTAAACGATTTTTCTTAAAAATATTTATTATTCATTATGCAAGAAATGAATCTTTTCCAATTATAAATATTTCTTGTAATAATAATTAACAAGAACCCAATTTCATAACCATAATCCAGTTGGTACCAACATGGCATGTTAAGCTTGGGATCGTAATTATGAAAACCCGACTAGTATGTTAAGCACTTTGTCAGTAATAACAAAACTCAGGTTTTGACGCAAGAAAGTCATTAATTCACTCAGCATTTCCGGGCTCCATCCATCATCAAGGCCAGGTTTGTTAAGCCAACCCTACAGCCACAGCCGATTGCCTTATTTCAATTGGGTCCCAATTGAGTTAATACTTCATCTGCCTACGGAGGAGAGTTCACTCTACTTTCCACACTAGAAGCAACAAAACTTTAAAAACCAAACCCCTAGCCTTTTTTTTTCCCGAAGTCAGCCGACAGCTGCTGCAAGGGGGTTAGAAGTGTCAGCCCCAGCCGTGCTGACTGTGCACGGCTGTGGCTGACATCCGCGTCAGGGAGCCGTGCACAGTCAGCACAGCTAGGACTGAGACCCCTACTGAATTTTATGTTGTCTGACTGTGGATGGGAAATTCATTTTTGCTGCCGTGTTGAGTCAACACGGCAGGTGTAGAATGAGAAATAAAGTGTGTCAGAGCTTCATTTGGCGGATGTTTTTTATATACGAATATTCTAAGAAATTAGCCTAAACGAAATTGGTCACTCGCAGGCCTTGGGCTACGTGTGTGCGTGCGCCCTCTGGTGTACATGGGCTTTTTCAACTAGCCTGTTACACTGCCCAAATGCTTTTATTTTTATTCATTTTTTTTTGTGGCAAGAGTTGGAAAACAAAAAATGTCGAAGAGCATGCGATGCAACAAGTAAAAACTGATTTTTTGTCGTTAAATTTGTCCTACGAATTACTACAATTAGAATTTCAGCAACAGCACCTTTTATTTTTCATTTACATTTCAGCTTTCTAGAATTAAGTATTTTCTTCGTTACTGTTGTTTTCTAAATAATCTTCAATACAAGTGAAAATGCTTTAATCTGACTATGAGATATTAAAAAATAATAATAATTGATGGTACCCAAAAGTAAAGGATAAAATTTTATTATTTTTGCACATCCACACTATTAATGGCCTAGTGCCAGTAGCCAGCATGGTACCCGTAACAGTGTGTATCCACGATAGAAAAATTATAATATCCTTAAACGAATTAACTAATTAGACTATAATATCCTTTACAAAGCAGATAAAATATTGTACCAAAAAACAAAAAATCAGTCGCTCCAATTTTGAGGAAAAATGTCGTGAAATCCAAAATTTGTCATAATGCTCAATCTCTCTCAAGGAATTGTTAGATCTTCCAAGGAATAACTAAATTAGCGGTATAATTTAACAAAAAAAATGTCGCGGGCAGCTGAACGAAATTGAATAAATTTTCCTCCGAAAATATATGCCTCCCAGGATCTTTAAGTTCACCACCAAAAATATCTCTTCCTAAACTTCTCTGAGGATGGGCCAAGCTTTTCTTAGGATGTCATTGATCTTTGCATGAATACGTTTTTGCAATCTTGGCGGACAAAGCTCTGCTGCATAACCATTTAATTTGGCTGCCAGACTTGATTTTTCCAGCTCTTCTTCAGGCAAGTTTCCCATTAGTTGAAGAAGAAATGGATTCCGTTTCAGCTCAAATTTCTGAAGATCACAAGTTAAAATTTTCATTATTGTTCCTTTCATTCTTATAAGTGCAAAATGTGCCTAGTAAGAATATCGCAGAAGCCAGGAATAAGATAAAGGTTTTAACTTCTAAAGAAAACTAAGCAGAGGTCATCCTTCTGCACTCGTAAATTCTGCTGGACCACCTCTTTCAGAATCTACAAGTGGCTACAGTGACTCCCTCCTATCCGTTCCGAATAGGAACAAAACAAAGGAAAAACCTGTACTTGTAACACCAATTTTGCTTTTTGTGATTTATACAAGTTGATGAAAGATACTAACCTGATGATCAGGCCCTGCAGGATAGAATGTTCCCAGTTGCTGAATTTGAGTGGTTACAATGCCACTCTTTGACCTTGTCTGCTCTCTTTCTTTACTTACAGATGTGACGGCCCCACCTCCCCCAAGGGCGTACCCCAGGGTTCGGCGAGTCGCCTGCCCAGCTCTCGTCGGGACTCACTCCCTCACTACAAACCTCAAACAAATTTCAATATAAATCTCAAATATACATCAAATCATACATACCACGAGTAGCAGAAAGTAAACCCTAGAAAAGTTGATAATTATAACCACCACAACAACTATATACATCTTGCCAGTTAACTTATAACAAG